ACACACACACAGAAACGTCTTTGGTCATTCTGTGGTCATATATTTGTGTGAATGACTGTAAACTGTATAATTGATTATTGTCTCAGTGATTTCACACATATCTGTGTTAGTTTGTCTCATATTTATCTCTTGATTGCATAGTAAAATCATCAATGCTCATGAGCATGTCTTTATTTATTTGATCGCTGTATAATATGCTGGATAATGCAATGTGAGTCTGTCATTGTAACAAAATAATCCTCTTCACCTGATCATATGAAGCATGATCTGCTCTATATTGGCTTTTTATAATAATGACTGGCTGACGGTACATCATCCATTACATATACCAGTAACACACACACCAGCAGTGGATAGAAATATGAATTATCTTTTGGAATTTGATGTAATACTTTTGTTTTGTGAAATGTTGCGCATTTGTAACACCAGGTTTTGCAGTTTCAGCTGGGTGAGATCTCACTGTGTGTGTGTGAGTGTGTGTGTGTGTGTGTGTGTGTGTCTGAGTGTGTGTGTGTGTGTAGTGTGTGAGTGACACAACCTCATGATACTGTGGTGTGAAACTCACAGTTGTAGGCAAGAGTGAGTCTGAGTGTGTGTGGGTTTACTTTGCATAAAATTTAGGACAATGATATTAATTATATATTTATATGTCAATTATTAATTATGTACACTTATATAGAAATATTATTTATTTATTTGTAAATATATTTTTTAACATATTTATATAAAGTTATTTTTTATATATTTATACATGTATATACACACACACATACATGTATATATTTATATATGTATAAATATTTTCTAGTCAACATTTGAAGTGGATCAAAACCTTTCATCAAAGTTGTCCTAAAACCAAAATGTGTTCTTGTCTGAGGAGATATATATATATATGTGTGTGTTTATTCTCAGTCACTCCGACCATTCAGCATAATTTCACCATCTAGCTAGGCCACAATAGGCTATTCTTCAATACAATATTTTCTACAATATTTACATCCTGATCTGGCAAAAAAAAAGTTGGGTACTCTTTGATGACCAGCTGACATTCAGATACTATATATTGCAAAGAAAACACTTCTAGTTTGTACTAATCTGAACATTGTTTAAATCTTTGTGTTTTTAGCACTTTTCATGTTTATTGCCTCCCTAAGGTGAACTGCTTGTATTCCTTATTTGTAAGTTGTTTTGGATAAAAGCATCTGCTAAA